CAGGGTAACTCGGGTTCGGAATCCCGAAGAGCGAACCCGAGTCAGCCCTGACCCGAGTCACCCCTGATGATTCGGGGGCTCTGGACGCCCGAACTATCTGGGATAACTCGGGCCCAGGGTAACTCGGGTTCGGAATCCCGAAGAGCGAACCCGAGTCAGCCCTGACCCGAGTCACCCCTGATGATTCGGGGGCTCTGGACGCCCGAACTATCTGGGATAACTCGGGCCCAGGGTAACTCGGGTTCGGAATCCCGAAGAGCGAACCCGAGTCAGCCCTGACCCGAGTCACCCCTGATGATTCGGGGGCTCTGGACGCCCGAACTATCTGGGATAACTCGGGCCCAGGGTAACTCGGGTTCGGAATCCCGAAGAGCGAACCCGAGTCAGCCCTGACCCGAGCCACCCCTGATGACTATCGGGATAACTCGGGCCCAGGGCAACTCGGGCTCGGAATCCCGAAGAGCGAACCCGAGTCAGCCCTGACCCGAGCCACCCCTGATGATTCGGGGCTCTGGACGCCCGAACTATCTGGGATAACTCGGGCCCAGGGCAACTCGGGTTCGGAATCCCGAAGAGCGAACCCGAGTCAGCCCTGACCCGAGCCACCCCTGATGATCCGGGGCTCTGGACGCCCGAACTATCTGGGATAACTCGGGCCCAGGGCAACTCGGGTTCGGAATCCCGAAGAGCGAACCCGAGTCAGCCCTGACCCGAGCCATCCCTGATGATCCGGGGCTCTGGACGCCCGAACTATCTGGGATAACTCGGGCCCAGGGCAACTCGGGCTCGGAATCCCGAAGAGCGAACCCGAGTCAGCCCTGACCCGAGCCACCCCTGATGATTCGGGGGCTCTGGACGCCCGAACTATCTGGGATAACTCGGGCCCAGGGCAACTCGGGTTCGGAATCCCGAAGAGCGAACCCGAGTCAGCCCTGACCCGAGCCATCCCTGATGATCCGGGGCTCTGGACGCCCGAACTATCTGGGATAACTCGGGCCCAGGGCAACTCGGGCTCGGAATCCCGAAGAGCGAACCCGAGTCAGCCCTGACCCGAGTTGCCCCTGATGATCCGGGGGCTCTGGAACACGTGGCAAAACCGGCGGCAACGGGCTGGACCGCGGCGCACCCCCAGGGCGCTCCCACGGGCGGCAGCGGGGCGGCAACCGGCCGGAACGTGGCGAATCCTCGGGCCGCCCATATCCGATCCCCGAGAAGCGCAGGTGAGAGCGCGAACCCTCGGGAGACCCCTCCAACTCCTCGGAAGCGCGAGCAAGAGCCCCAGAAGTGCAAGCACCGCCTCGGGAAGGAGCCCACGGAGCCCGTGGCAGCGCTGCGCTCTGGCCGGCGCAGCCCTCCACGCACGCGTCGCCGCGGCACAGCACCACTGGTGGGCACCGGCTGCCGCACACACGCATTCACTGCACGAGACAGGCGGGCGCGCACGGTGCTTGTGCGTGCGCATCGAGGGAAAATCAAGACAGGACTGATTATACTTATGTCGGGCGTGTCCCCCTACGGGGGGATTCTCGAAAACAAATATCAAAGATACCCCCTAAAATGCCCCCAAACGGTCCAAAAATACTAAAAAACATAGTCCCCAGACTACTTTGTGGACTATGTTTTTACTATTTTGGGTTTGTTCTATTTTACCACCCGAGGAGGTCGCCCAGGGGACAGGAGGGAGGGAGCTGCAGGACGGGGGGCTGGCCATCGCTCGGACGTCCATTCCCTGTGGTTTTTGTCGGTTTCGTGCGTTTTTTTTTTTTTTTTTTTTTTTTTTTTTTCGCCAAGCGATCAGGGATGCTCCTTGATGGCCCTCGCCGAAAGAAAAGTGCACACGTCCAAGCGATGCCAAGGGGGGGCGAGGGAGGAGGAAAAGGGGGGGGGGCGGCGAGGTCGCGGGTGGTAGAGCGCAGGAGGGGAAGGGGAGAAGGAGAAGGGTGGGAGGCGGAAGAGGGAACGGAAAACTGATGTCGGCGGGCGGGAAACGACAGAACGCGAGAGCATTCCACACCTACCACAAGCGGTATACGCGCCAACAGGAAGTGTAAGACTTCGTAGCGCTCTGGCGAGCTTCAGAGGCTTCTGCGGAGCGGACTGGCAGAGCATTCGCAAATCTAGGCCTCCTCCTCCTCCTCCTCCTCCTCCTCCTCCTTCTCCTCCTCCTCCTCCTCCTCCTCCTCCTCCTCCTCCTCCTCCTCCTCCTCTTCCTCGGCAGCACCGTGCGCCTGAATCCCGAGCCTAGCTCGAGCTGCTCCTCGTCCGTCCTGCTCTGTCTCCCCCTTGTCTCCACCTCCCGGCCTTCCTCCGCTCTCCTCCGCCTTCTTCCTCGCTCTTCCCCTCCTCTCCCATCCACCCTCTCTCCCACTCCTTTCTCATCCCTGCCATCCTCCTAGCCCTGCTTCTGACCCTGCCCCTCCCTCACCTCTCCTCCTGCTCCTCCTATCTCCTATCTCCCTCACCTCTCCCCTCCCTCCTATCTCCCCACCCCCGCAAGCTCCGAGATGCATGCACGCATGCAAGCCGACGATCCCTTTGGCTCCCGCGCTCGTGCGGGCTGATCCCGGTGCGCCGGATGCTCTCCCTGCTTGCTGAGGGCTCGCACCGCGCGCACCCGCCAGAGGGTGCGGCCCGGGCGCTGAGCGCTCGCGCCCTCGCTTCTGATTCTGGCGAGTAGCGCGGCGACTCTCGCCGACCTCGCGCAAACGGGATCCACCACCACCACCACCACCACCACCACCACCACCACCACCACCACCACCACCACCACCACCACCACCACCACCACCACCACCTCGAGGGTGTAGGCAGCATGGGGATCTGCAGGTGTCGGTGCACGTGCACGCGGGCGTAGACTCTCGGCGCCGGCGCGGCTCGCCAAGGCGCGAGCGGGGAACACGAGGACGAGCAGGTGCTTAGGCCGCGGCCGCTCGTCGGAAGCGCGTCGTCCTCGTCCCCGGCCAGTGCCTTGTGCCCCCCCCATGGGGGAGGGCCCCCTCCCCTGGGGGAGCGGAGTATGCTGTGGTGGGTCGGAGCCCCTCGCCTCTTCCTCTCCCCCTCTTCCTCCCCCTCTCCTTCCTCTTTCTCCTCCTCCTCCTCGTCCTCCTCCTCCTCCTCCTCGTCCTCCTCCTCCTCATCCTCCTCCTTCTGTCCCCCTCCCCACTCTTCTCCTCCCCCGGTTCAAAGTTCTCGCCGCGGTTCACTCCCCCGCCAGGGTCTTGGGCCTAACAGGGAGTGCTTAGGGGGATGAGGACAATGGGCGCGGCTAGCCGAAACCCCGTTCGGAGCGCCCCCCTGTGTGTCAATCGGTAGGGGCATGGTCAATGCTGCTGTGGCGGTGTCCTCTTGATTGTGCTCGGGTCCGCCATCCCCAAGCATTCAAACTTGTTGGGGGGCGGGAGTGAACACCCTCCCCAGGATCGCCACGCCGCGGAGGCGGTTGGGGCTTCGACTCTTTCCTCCGTGGGGGCTTCGGCTCCAGCTAGGGGCTAGGGCTTCGGCATCAGCTGCGGATCCTGGGGGGTAGACAGGCGACTCGTTTGGTCAACGCGCGTCGGCATTTTAGTCGAATGTGGCGTTTGCTGAGAGATGACCCTACGACCCACTCGGGTAAAACACGGCGTCTGAGATGGATTTCGCGGATTTGTGTTTTTTGTCAAAAAGATCTGGCAGAAGAAGGCGCCATGATGTGAGTGTCTGGCCCCTGTGCAGGTTGAGGGGGCGAATCATGAACTTTTTGACGGTATCCACATGGTCTTGTGTCTTCGGGGGGCTGCACCCAGCCTGGGCGGCGATTCGACCTGTCGACTGCTGGCACAGGCCAGCCGCCCCCAGGCCCTAGCAGCCAGGGCAGCGTCGGTAAGGTGATTTGGCAATCGTGGTGGGGGGGTCTTCACGTGCTTTCCCCTTTCTCATTTCTCCTTGCCTCAAAACCATGGGCGCTTCTTTCTGGCTTGGTGTCTGCGTGTCTACAAGACTAGTTTCTCTCCCTGTGCAGAGACACGCAAACATCGTGCAGTATGTGCACTTCGGTGGTGGTGGTAGAGCTGGTTTTGTGTCTCGGGGTTCGGGGTGTTTGTGGCTGGCTGTGATGCGTTTGTGCCCAGGTTGATGCTCGCCTCCTACTCGGTCCCCTGGCCGTCGTTCGCGGCGTACATGCCGGAGGCGACGGCGGGGAACGCAAGGGTTTGGGGCCCTTCTGGGGCTCCGGGCCCCAGGTCTGGCCGAAATCGGCGCGCTTCTTCCCCCAAACACCGACGACGGCATCCCCAATTTGCTTGTGAGTCGGCCGAAGCTCTGGCCGGCGCCAACGCGTGCCCTTGTCGGGCGCTTTCGCGGGGCATCCCGCACCCCAGCATACTGCAGACCAGCTCCTCCCGCATGCCCAGATGGTGGTGGTGTGCTGCCTGCTCTAGAGGAACAGAAACACACATCAGCATCAGCTTTGGGAGGTCCGCGCGGATTTCTTGTATCCACGCTGACCCCCTCCCTGGCGCGCGGAGCGCGCCAGGGGCGGCGCCGCGGGGGGGGCGCAGCGAGGATCCAAGAAAACCGCGCGGAGCGCCAAAAGTTTAAGTCTATGGCGTTTCTCCTCCTCCGAGCATCCCCGGATGGTGGTGGTGGTCGTGCGCTGCCGGTTGACAGTTCGAGGAGAGGTGGGGGGGGCGGGCCTTCTCTGTGGGCCGCCGACGCTGACCCCAGAGAAAACTGACACATCTGCGGGCCAGGAGTCTGGAGCGCAGGCTCTGCTGTCACTCCAGCGCGCAGGCACAAAACCGCTCATGGAGTCTGCGCCACCGCTTCATAAAAGGCACAGAGACATGCAAGTACTATGTGTCCTCCTTAGAGGCGCGCGTCCGGCCCGAACCTATCGTATACCCGTCTTGTCGTACATCGTTTCTCGAGCGGTGTGGCCAGAAAGCGCCCGCCACGCCACATATACTGTAAGATTTTTCAGTGCGCGCGTCGCCCGTGGGGGGGCGCGGCGCACACACACATAATTAGTAATTATGTTGGGGTGACGCCGACTTCACCCCACCAGGCCGATAATGTACTGTCAGCCATCTGGCGCAGGCGCCGAGCTGGCGGAGCCCGGCGTGCCGGCGGACGGCTCGTGCTCCAACCATCGACGCACGCACACACACATGCCCACTGATGTGCCTCCTAGATGGGGTCCGAGTAGATGGCGTCGGAGGATCGCGCCGCATCGCCGATAACATCGCTGGTGCACCGGCGATGCATCGGCGATGCATCGGCGACGTGGCCGGTGCATCGGCGACGCCGGCGTGGAGAAGATCGGGCTCGGCATCGCGCCGCATCGGCGAGGCATCGGCGATGCGGCGCGATCCTCCGACCCCATCTACTCCGACCCCATCTAGTAGGCCTGGAGAGGAGGAAGAGGAGGAGGAGGACGAGGAGGAGGACGAGGAGGAGGAGGAGGTGGAGGAGGAGGACGAGGAGGAGGACGAGGAGAAGGACGAGGAGGAGGAGGAGGAGGAGGAGGAGGAGGACGAGGAGGAGGAGGAGGAGGAGGAGGAGGAGGAGGAGCAGGAGTAGGACGAGGAGGCGGAGGAGGAGGAGGAGGAGGAGACCAATGGCAGCGAGAGCTCCTCGTGAGCGCGCCGCGGAGCAGCCCACAAGGCACCCTGGGGCACCCAGCCCACGAGGATGCCGTCGGGGGGGCGCCGCACGGAGCTGGGCGAAGGTGAGGCACTCGCCCACCCGAGCCGCACGGGAGTGGGCAGGCCACGAGCCACCTCGGACGACACGGCATCACTGGGGAAACGAAGGATGGCATAAGCATAAAAACTCGGAGGTCCGCGCGGATTTATCGGATCCGCGCTGGACCCCCCTGGCGGCGCCTCTGGCCCCGCCCCTGGCGCGCTCCGCGCTCCAAGGAGGGGGGTCCAGCGCCGATCCGAGAAATCCGCGCGGACCTCCGAGTTTTTAATGTTCATGTCATTGTTCGTTCCCCTGATCACATCTTGAGTGGGGTTGGTGGTGAGCGTTTTCTTGTTCGGCGTGTCGACAGTGGGCGCAAGGGGTTGGGGTGAGGGAGGGGGGTCTGGCTCCGGACCAGTGCGTCCTATCGGTGGAGGCTCCACCTGCTTGAAACGGGCGCCAGAAACAGCCAAGCTCTATTCCATGGGGGGGTGCGAGGGCCCGCGCCGATTGGCAAAACAATGAATAAGAAAACGATCATTCTGTGGCGGGCTCGGGAAGCCCTGAAACCCAAGAAGTTATCACCTCTTTGGGGGGGGGCTTGTTTTGGTTCCACGGCCTTCCGCCGAGCTGCCGCTGGCGAAGCCGCCCCCATGCTGCTTCCACTGCTTCCCTGGAGCCTTTAGCCGCCTTCCCCTGAGGAGTAGATGCCAAGTTCTTGGATGCCTCGAAGGCGAGGCCATCTCTGGAGCGCCTCATGCGACTGTCTCAAGTCTCCGCCATCTGCTCGCTCCAACAGCCCTGCTTGCGTGGATGCAGCTATGCAAAATATTGAACCGATGATCTGTAGAGTGCTACCCTGAACTTGAGACTCGCTGAGCCAACGGGTCAACGCAACGGCGTGTCAGACCTGGCACCGCAGGCACAGCAAAGGAGCGAGGTAGCCTTTTGTTGTTTCTGTCCTGAGGCTGTCTTTGGGCCTTATGGGGCTCAGATTGGCGCCTTCTTGCAGCGCTGTAAAATTGGGACCAATTGGGTGTGAGTTCGTTGTTTTGTGCTGTGCTGTCGCGCTCGCGTGTGTAGTGAGCGTGCGTGCGTGCGTGCTTGTGTGTGCGCGTGTGTATGTTTGTGTGCTTGCTCGTATCCCATAAGAGGACGAAGGAACAGCACGCGTATAGCTAATGCAAGCACCCCAAGCGCTCGAGCGGAATGAAGCAATTTGTTCCCCGAAAACAGAAACCCAGAGCTGTCCGTGGGCTGATCTGGCGAGGACCCACACACGATGTCGCTGATCTTATGTACGGTGCTTGTTGTTGCTTCTGCTTCGCAGCTTGTTCTCCGTCCCACGTAGTCTTTATTCCAGCGCCTTGATTGACCGTGCGGATGGAGCATGGCCGAACGAGCGTGCGCCGAGAACACGCAGGCCTTTCGCCAAGGGCCTCTGTGCCCGATGGAGATGCGAGCAGCCAGAGCGAAGAGCACGCCCAGGTGGAGAGCCCAGGCACGGAGAGCAGGAGTGAAGGGGCCCCAGGACACACAAATAAATACACACAAATAAAAAGATTCCACATATTTTCCTATATTTTCTGGGTTTCTGTGTTCCCCTCAACTTCCCATATGTTCCCATATTTTCTGGGGAATCGAGGATTAATTGTGTCTGTGTGTTTCTTTTCCTCCTGAAGGAGGGACCGCCCCCAGGGCCGGCGATGCGCTTGTCGGCGTCGAGCGAGGGGGGGAGGTGCGATGGAGACGGCCTTCCCAGGAGGCGGCGGAACTTCTCAGAAGCCCTCGTGCCTTCTGAGAGGATTTTTTTCCTGCGTTCGGGGACGGCTGAAAACACTTCTCAGAAGGCGGGGTGACTTCTGAGAAGGCCTTCTCCTTCTCACTTCCCCCTGGGCTCGCCGCCACCAGAGAGGCCCCCAGAGAGGCCCCCAAGAGGCCCCCCGACAAGACACCACGAGAACCCAGATATCTTCTGATAGGCCCCGAGGGGGGCTTTCCGAGAGGCATCCAAGAGGCATCTGGCCCGAGATCCCGCCCAGTAGCTCCGAAGGCCAAAACAATCCGCCGCTTCCGTTAGCCTGGGTGCTGGCTTGTCGGATGTTCTCATGTTCTCTGGCCCTTCCAAACGATTCCCGGAGGCCATCGGCTCAACACGCTGGCCACCAAGAACGCCGCGCTCCCAACACCAACAGAAACTGTGGTTCTGAAGAGCTGTTCCGTCCGAGTTGACTCCAACAGGACCTCAGACGCCATAGAGTCGGCCCACAACGGTCCCACGATGGTTCCAAACTCGCGCGAGATGCCTTCAGAACGGCCTATGTTTTTCCGCGTTGTCGCCGTTTCGGGCTTCCGGCAGCCCAAGAGAAGGCCCAAGAGACCCTCAAGATCGCCTCAAGATAATCTCCAAGGCCCAAGCCCCATAGCACGGCCCCAACAGGAGGGCCCCAAGATCGCCCCAAGAGAATCCAAGAGAGCCCCAAGACGGTCTCAAAATACCCAACCACAGCCCAGAGAGGCCCCCAAGACAGCCTCCGAAGGTGCCAGGCAGCCTGAAAGGCACCCTAAGACGGCCCAAGAGAACCCAAGACGCCCCCGAGAAGCCCCCTGTGCTTGCCACAGGGGCGCTTGGCGTGCCGGAAAACATGTATCCCGGTGGTCTTTGCCCCAGCCAGCCGGCCCCGCGGAAGGATCTGGGGAGCGCAGAAGCCAAACATTTCCACCAGGCCCCGGCCTCCGAAACGTCCAAAATGGCTCAAGACGGCTCGAGGTAGCCTCCAACACCTCCCAGACAGCCGAGACGGCACAAGATGGCCTGAAGAGGGTCCAATTCGCCCTCTAGGGGTCTCTTCGGCAATCAAGGGCCCCAGGGTCGGACCGAGAGGCCAAAGTCATTGGAAAATCATGTGCGGTCAATCTATTTCGAAGTCTCACCTTATCAGTCTCAGTAGCGTTCGAGCAGAACGGACCAAGAGGCACCCAAAACCAGCCAAGCACGGCCCACATACGGTTGAACCTCGGAAAGTAGAGCATCCTTCAAGAACATGAGATTCCTCCGCCGGCCAAAACACCCAAAACCATAAGATCACGCGAGGATGCCCCCCCCCCCCAAGACGCACATCCAACAAGCACAAAGAACATTAGGGCATCCTCCTCGAACTGACCTCGATCTTATACTTTGGTCCGACAGTAGGCCCCAAATAGAAGAAGAGGAAGAAAAAGAAGAAAAATTAGAATAAGAAGAAGAAGAAGAAGAAGAAGAGGAGGAAACGGCATATACATAAACAGTTGGCGCTCCGCGCGGATTTCTTGGATCCGCGCCGAATCACCCCCCCTGGCGCGCTCCGCGCGCTGGAGGCGCCGCCGGGTGGGCTTAGCGCGGATCCAAGAAATCCGCGCGGAGCGCCAAAAGTTTATGCTCGTGGCGTTTCTTCTTGTTCGACCAAAGAGACCACAGCATGGTCCTTGCAGTCTACTCGCGCCCCGCACTTTCGCTCAGCACTTCACGACGCGGGCGCTTCCAAAGGTTTTGGGCGGCGGTGACTCGCCGCGGGCGCTTTCAATATTGCGGATGCCATGACAATGGGCACTCTAACAATTCTATCAGTGAACATGTGTTCAATGTGTTGTTATCAACTGTTTCCAACTGTTTCAAGCAGTTGCGAAAACATGCTAGTTTAACCAAATTCAAAACATGTTTGATTAGCATGAAATTACAGTCGATTGATTTAGACATCTGGAAATTATTTGGCAACATGCCACCTCTCAATGGACTTTCTTCCACAACGATACTACTTGCTTGATCTCAAGTTTAGGTTGTCGGTGCGGGTGGCGCCTGGGAACAGCAGCTTGGCGTAGCCTGGGCTGAGCTGCCCTGACATGCCACAGCCTGAGGCGAGGCGAGGCGAGCCAAGCTGTCGGTGTTCCCGAGCGCGAGTCACATGCCAGGCGCGTCATTTGAAAAAAACCGGGCGTCAACGGGTCAACCTGAACTTCAGCTGCCCGTACTCCTGCAGATCCAAGATCAGCGAGCCGAAGTCGGGCCGCATCTCGGGGTCGGAGTCCCAGCAGGACTCCGACATCCTGATGTAGAATCTTGGCACCTCCGGCGGGACTTCTGGTCGCACCCCCTTCGTGACCAACGCCTGAAGCTCACCCTTCTCGAAGTCTACGAAAGGCGGCTCGCGGCACATTATCTCGAAGAGGAGCATGCCGAAAGCATACACGTCCACCTTCGCGGTGTAGTCTGTGCTGCCGCTCATGATCTCTGGTGCCATCCACTGCAAAGTGCCGACTCCAACAGTCATTACGGATTTCAGCGTGGACCCGGGTCGAATGTATATGCTCGAGGACTCTGTCGTAGCAGGCCCGACTTGATCGCTCATTTCCCCGAAATCGAACCCCACTCTCCTTGCGTTGGGGCTCTCGGCCGACTGCCCCGAGCCCGAGCACATCGCGCAGAAGTCGACCGACTGGTCTCCCTGCCGCCTCGAGGGCCGCCTCGACGACGCCCTGCTCTGGGCGGGTACATCGAGCCGAGATGCCTTCGACCCCTGGGACGGCATGTGGTCCACGGCTGGAATGGCCGACTCGGGCAGAGCAGCTGTCGCCACTGGCGAGCTCCCCCGCCACCTTCAGGTCGGGCATGCCCCCCCACAGGCGGATGGTAGGCGAAAAATGAAAAATGCACCATCCAAACTGAACAATGATCAGAACATGATGCAAACATCGTCCTCGTATCAGGCTTTGACTATTTTGGATCCTCCCTCCTGCTTGTGACTGCTATTGCTTATTTCCTGAAGTATCCCTCCTGACTACTTTCTGGCTGTTTTTGTACATCCCTCCTGCAGAGGGACGTGCCCGACTTGAAACTGACTACCTACCAGACCACCCCAACCCAACCCGAAGACCCGAATTTCGGGTTGGGGGGGGTACGGGTTCCATATGTGTTTTTTCAATGTTCCCGGACCCCCCCCCCCACTAGAAATCGAGGGTAAATCTGAGCCTTCGGGTTGGGTTGGGGTGGTTTGGTGGGTGGTGAGAAACGCCACCTCGACACCGACATCTTCGCGAAGCCGAAGTCGGTGACCCGCCGGCCCCGCACGCTCGGGGCTCGGGCTCGGCAGACGCACCGCTCCCCCCCCGGCGCCCCAGCACCGGGGGCGCCCGATCTGCGCACGGGCGGGGAGCACAGCAGGCAGGAGCAGCAGGGAGGAGGAGGAGGAGGAGGAGGAGGAGGAGGAGGAGGAGGAGGAGGAGGAGGAGGAGGACGGAGGAGAGGAAGAGAGAAAGGAGGAGGGGGAGGAGGAGGAGGAGGAGGGGGAGGAGGAGGAGGAGGAGGAGGAGGCGGAGGCGGAGGAATACGAGGGGAGCAGGCACATCAGGCAACGCAGGAGCAAGAAGTACCAGAAGAAACCACGCTCGGGCGAGGATAGTGAAGACACAGACACTGGCGCCACGAAGCTACCAGCGCCCCTCGCGCCCATCGGGGCGAAGCACGGCGAGACTTGCACGTAAGCAAAGAAGTGACCCCAAACGCGCCATCGGCCGGAAGAGGTAGGTAAGAAAAACATGGCATGGGAAGGCGTTGCCCTAAGGATGACGGAAAAGGTGAAGCCACTCGATCATTGAAGTAGGAAGGCGCTCCAAGTAGATTGGAATCTGGGAATGCATCAAGATCTACTTTCAACGACCGACGGGTGCCCCTAGATATGCACATATCAAAGGCGCACAGGAGGGCGCAGATGTGTCACCCAGGATGGGGCCACGGGAAGTCCGCCAGGACGACCCAAAAGGCCTCCAAGAAAGTTCAGGCAGTCCCAAGGAAGCGCATCAGAGGCTTCAAAAGAAATCGAATGTGGTCTTAGCTTGTTCCGGTTCCAGGCTTCTTGGCCCGAGCCGCTTGAGGAGGATGTCAAATCGCCCCGATCTGGCCAACTAGGGCGTCCAGACGCGGTCAAGAGAGCCCAATACGGCCGCACAGAAGACCCGTATCGGCCTCACGCTGGCCCGCAGAGGGCGTAAAAGGGACCTCGCAAGCGGTTAGGACGAGTGGCTCAAGATGCCGCGAGACCGACCCAGGCAGCCACGACAGGCTCACACGAGAGGCCCAAAGAGGGGGCCCAGACAGCCAAAGTCATAGCGCCAGCTGCCTGCTGTCTCGACCCACTCCTGTTCCAGCAATGTTCTCCACCGCCCCAAGGCAGTTCCAAAGGGCGCCCAATACACACAAAAGACAGCCCCCACACGGCCTCAACCTGTTTCCAAGACAGACTAGAACAGCACTGGGAGGGCCCCAAGCGATCGGCACACGAGGGCACCAGCAAGCGGGGCCAGATGGCTCGAACTTCCCAGGACCAGTCCAAGAGGCCCTACGAGGCCCCAAGAGGCGAATGAGAGGCCCCAAAGGAGATCCAGAAAGAGCTGGACGGAGAACGAATGTTGAGTTAACAAGTGGAGGAGCGCTGGAACCCGCCACCGCCGTAGGCACTAAGTGGAGTGTCCTCAAGTCCCTTCGAGCCCTCTGCATTGAATGCTTTACACGCTGATTAGGGGGCCCAGGCCCACAATTGCCGGATGTCTCTGGGCTTCTCGTGTGTTTTCTGGAGTGTCGCGTGACTGTTCCGGAGGCCACAGGGCTCCAAGACGGGCCAAGGGGCTCACAAGAGGGCCCAATGGACGGTCCAATAGGCCTCAGCAATGCCCAGGAGCGCTCCGACACGGCCCCAATCGGCCCACGATTACGCTAAGTGGTCCCAAGAGGATCCCTAAAAAAGCACCAAGAGGCAACATTCATTGATTGACATGCTCGGGCTTCACAACGCCCGATTCTACCAAAG